GGGAACTGGTGGGGGAAGGTTAAAGTAGGTAATGCGCTTAGACAAATCTGCCAGCATCAAACCCATTACTCTATGAACTGACGTGCAGGCTGAACTGTGGGGGAATCCTGTCAAGTACTGAAGTGCCAGCCTATTCTGTGCTGGGCGTTTTTGCTGCTGGCTGTGGGGAAAGAGATAAGACACAATCCCTGTCTTGTGGAGGTTATGGTTCAGTGGAGGGGCCAGAGCCACACAAGTCAGTAGGCAAAATAGAGAGTGTGTCAGGAGGCAATAAATGCAATGGAAAAATAAGTGAGGGAAGAAGGGGCAGCAGGTGAAAGTTTAAGGAGAGTGAGCAGAGCACGTGTCCCCCGGAAAACTTCTGAGCAGTCCTGAAGGAGGTGAGAGGCGCAGCTGGCAGGACCACCACAGTACCACAGCCCAGGGCACATTTGAGTAAACTGAATGGTAAGGACTGGTGGGTTACTTCTGTGTGGTCAGTATAGTCTCTGAATTCCTTGTCACTTTCAATTAACCATGAGCACACCCAGATAGCTCTTGAAAGAGAGATTCCGTGTCTCTTCCCTCTTGGCAGCCAACCGTGCCAGGGCTGCTCACCAGAACCCTGAGGCTATGGCCCAGCCCCATGGGCACCTGCGGGGTGGTGACATTATAACCCTTGCTCTCCCAGGTACAGGGAAGCCCACTGGCCCTGCCCCCTTTAAAGCTAAGGAAATGCTGAGATGATTTTAGTTTGCTTTTGTTGCATTTCTGTTTGGTGAGTGGGTAAAGGAACATAACCCAATTCTGAGTCCTTCCAAGAGCTAACAATATAATCTTTATGTAGAGGTTAAAAGTACTATAATTTTGTTATAGTGCTCAGAACTGTCATATTTGGGGGGTGTTAACTGAAGAGGTATGTATTTTGTTAAATTTTTTGTTATTATTACAATGGCATTTGTAGTTTGTCTGCTCCTGTTCTAGCAGATGACTTTTAACTTTCACCCCCTGCAATAAACTCTAACGTAAGGATTAAGTATAAGGAGCACACATAAGCTCACCGAGGAGACGGCTGTTTCTCTCATCGCTGCACCCCAGCTCCCCAACTCAGTGTCTGGCCCATGGAGGCCCTCGGTGCTGCTGAACGAACGAACGTCTCCAAAGCTTTGGTGCAGAGAAGACCGGGAAGGGACAGGTGTAGGGGCCACAATGCTTAGGAACAGGAAGGCTAAGAAGCGGACCTGGGCTATTATCCCTCCCCAACTCAGCTCTGGGAGGATGGGAACCAAGTGAAATGTGCATTTTCAATGGCACAAGGGCAAGGCAGGGAAGAGAAAATGAAGGGTGAGAAGAAAACTGGCAGCCGAGTGTGCGGTGCACCCCAGCACGCTGAGAGGCTGGGGCAGAAGGCCTGCAAGTTTGAGCCAAGCCTGGGCAACTCAGCCACATCTCTACTCAAAGTGAAAAGTTTACAAGGAGAGCAGGGGTTCGCTCCATACTAAGGTCCTGGGTTCCATCCCCAGTAGCACAAAACAAAAAGGAAAAACTTGTCACATACTGTGGACCCTTGAGATCCTAGGTTGTTTCAGTGAATTTAACCTCTTGGAGCTCAGTTTCATCATCGGAAAAAATGGGGGTGGCGGCACCAACTTCACAACACTGACACGGCAATAAGGAGGGTGAAGTGTGTGATGCAGCAGGCACAGAAAATGCTATGTTGAAAAGCCTCAGTGGACCCTCATTTTCTCACCAAGAGGCAGTATAGACACTGACAGGCAGTGTAGGTGGTGTTCTGAGCAGGGGCCCAGGGCTGGACTGCTGGGTTTGAAGCCTATTCATCACTTAGAGCTCGGTGGGGTGGTTTTAGGAAAGTTACTTTTGTTCTGAACCATAAGTTCCTCCGTTGTAAAAAACAAGAGAACAGTGCTTACCTCGCCATGCTGCTCTGAGGATTAAACCAGCTAATGAGCAGTACCCAGTACTCTCAGAACAGTACCCAGCACCCAGCACCAAGGAAGCGTTAGGCACCACCATCATCATCACTCCCTGGTCCACCCGCTGCCACCCCCTCAGCGTGGAATCATAAGGACAAGGAGAGGAGCAGACAGGTGCATGGCAGGATGGCAGAGGGCCTGGAGGCAGATGGCTGGTCTGTGTCTCATCACTGTCTGAGTTCCCAATACCAAGCAGGCACAAGATTTGCCTGGATGTTTGCTAAATCACAGGTTGCAGGTTTCACCCTAATGGTGTCTGATTCAGCACATCTGAGGGGGCTGAGGTTTACATGTCCAACAATTCCCAGGTGGCCCTGATGCCCCTGATGAGAGCACACTCTGAGAATCACACAACAAGCAGATGCTGGGCTGGGCGCAATGGTGTTGTGTGCGCCTATTATCCAGCACTTGCAAGGACGAAGCAGGAGGGACCCAAGTTCAAGCTCAGTCTGGGCTACATGGTGAGACACCGTCTCAAAATAAAAAAATAAATAAACAACAAAACAAAAACACCACCACTAAGAACAGATGTCAGAAGCTCCAAGAGAAAGAGTCATGAAAGCATAGGAGCCTTGAAACCATCCCAGACAGGACAGAGTTCTAGAAATGACCAGAAAGAGCAATTTGCTCATTCATTTATTCAGCAAATATTAACTGGCTCCCTACCAGGAGCAGTGCCCCGTATTCATCTGTCAGTGGCAAGGATAGGAATTAAGCTGATTAGAAACACTGAGTTAAGAAGACTAATGATTTACTAAATTAAACTGCAGCAGCATCCTAGAAAGCAGCAGTGTCTCGCTAGGCCTGGCATGAAGCATCATGTGTTTGATTGTGATAGAATACACCTATCCCTGAAACAAAATTTACCATTAAATATACAGTTCCTGGCAGTAAATACACTCACACTGCTGTGTAATTATCACCACCGTTCATTGCCAGAACTTTTCTCATCTTCCCAAACTGAGAGTCTCTGCTCACTAAACAAGAACTCCCTGGTTCTGCTTTCCCGTGGTCCTGCTTTCCCCTGGTCACTACCATTCCATTTTCTATCCCTGTGAATGTTTGACTACTTAGGTACCTCAGATGAGTGGACTGTTGTTTTGTGACTGGCTCATTTCACTTAACATGATGCCTTCCAGGACCATCTATGTTGTAGCAAGCATGACACTTCTCTTTCATTTAAGGCTCAATAAATATCCCAATTGCATATGAGCCCTATTTTGTTTATCAGTGACATTTGGGTTGTTTCCATCTTTTGTGAGTAGTGGTGCCAGGAAGAGTGGTGTACAAATAGCTGTTCCCACCTCTACTATGAATTCTCTGGGTTAGGTACACTGAATATCACTATGAAGCCCGTCAGTTTTATTTGGGTGACAACTCAGATCACTGCCCCTGTCCTCCACACACACGTTTCCTACCAGACCTCTGCCACTGATGCCCAGGCTCTCAGCCCCTGCAATCTGACAAATCCCCTCCACCTCCAGGCAAATTGTCACAGCAATCGGGAGGGATTCCATTTGAGAGCTTGCTTGGCTGAGCACGTGCCTGTGGCTACCTTTTGCCCACAATGGCAACCTCGGCGACCTCCCTGTTTGCTGCCCAAATATACCTGTACCAGGAGCGTGTCCAGTATTGTGGGGAAGTTAGCCTTCCTGGGGGTCAGACGCCTTGACAGAGGGAACTGGCCGAACTTACAGACTGCTTGGGCCTGTGATTTACTCTCTCCAGTTTCAACTTTCTGGTCTGGAAGTAAGACGACACTTCCTATGTACTGGAGTTGTTGTTTTGAGAATTAAACAGCAATAAGCTAAGCCAAGGTTAGATAAATTGAGATAAGGTAACACACCTGCGTACTGCCTGGCTTAAAGTAAGGACTCGACAGATATCAACTGTTAGTATTACTGATCACTTCTAACACATTTCAGTGACTTCTTTGCCGTAGAAGGACATTACAACGGGCGTAGTCTCACTAGGCCAGAAGCATAGAATCCCAGACAAGAGCAGACACATTTTTCTAAATCATAAGACTCAAAACTACAAGCTAGCGCCCCAGGGATAAAAAAAGATGCTTTTGGAGAAGGAAAGTATTTGGGAACAGAGTCCTCCAAGGAACCCACACATTGCCCCCAGAGTCTCTAGCAGCCAGCTAAGAGTTGTATACATTTGTCCTGAGTTTTTTCAAAAGTCAGTTTGCAAATGCCAGGTAAAAATGAATTCCGGAACAATGGAAACTGGAAATGAGGCATGGTTACAACAAATCGGGCCGGGCCTCCCCCTAGATCACCCCAGTGCTTCTGGGATATGTCCTGACAACTTGGCGGCCTCTTCCTAAATCTCTGGAGGGGCGGCTGTTCCCGCCACTTGCCTCGGAAGAGTATTCCGCAGTGAAATGGGACTCACTGTCAGGCCCTTGCCTTTGAGAGTCCCTTTCTTCTCCTGACCCACTTTTGTCTGCTGTGCCCTTTCATACAAAGTCAAAGGAAGCCTGCCCTGAAGGAGCTTGCTCTGCAAGCGCAGACATTCAAAGACCACTACCACCTCTTAAACTCGGCCCTGTTCGTTTAGCCAAGCAAAGCATGTGTAATTCTTTTAATCTTCCCTCGTAAATCAGTCTCTACGTTCCCTTAATAGTCCTTCCCCCGCGCTTTGAACTCCCTCCAGTCTGGGCGTCCTGAGCTCTTGCTCCGTTTACACGAGAGAATTACCAGTCCATCACGCAGTACCCGCGCAGGGAATCCACCGGGCCGCACCAGGTTCCGGCTCTCACTAAGCTGCACGGCCTGCTGCCAAAGGCACCGGGAGCCAGCGTGGTCAGCCAGAACAGAGCAGGCCCTGCCCAGTGGCCAGCCCGGCTCCGACAGGCTTCCAGCATCTGGTGCCTACTCCGACATGGCCTTTTGAATGAGCCAGCAGTCAGGAAGCTGCAGAGAGGTCACCGGGAGTAAGACGCTTGTGCCTCTCCTGTTCAACTCCTCAACTCGCCCACCTTCCACATGGCTGCCACCTACAGCGCAAGGAGGGTCTTACCTGGAAGGTCCCGGCATGGTCCTCTTCCTTGTCACCCTCTCGGTTCTCCTTGAGGGCAATTAACGTGAAGCCTCTGAAGTAGGAGGGCGGGGCAGCGGAAAGCGTCACTGTGAGGGAGAAGAAAGCACAGGAATCAGCTGTGCTCTGTTGGTCAAAGGGGATGGACTGGGATTCTCCACCAACACCCCACACCTGCGGGGCGGAGGACAGAGGATGCTGGGAAAGGCTCACCTGCAGCACAGAAAGTCACCACCCTCTTCAGGCCACTCCTGCTTACATTTCAGAACCCGCAAAGTACCTGGTCTCTCTCTCACTTGGAAGCTCACCAACCAGCCGCAGCTGCAGTGAGCCCTCTGCCAGGAATCCCAGTGTGATAAAGTCCCCGGTCAGAAACTCCCAACTTGAAGATCATCTCGCGTTCCCTACAGCTCTGTCAGATTGGCCAGAAAGCTGTTTAGCTTCTCCTAGCAGTGACTCCTCTCCCATGCCTTGTGTGGTGCAGTGCTGTACATTCTCCAAAACACGCTTCATTTTCCATGTGGCAGCTCAGCTAGACCACATTTTCCAGCCTGCCTCACAGTTAGGTCTGCTTGGACCTGAGTTCTTCCAGGAAGACACACAAGCAGACATGGGCCTGTGGCTCCCAAGCCTGGCCTGTTCCATCTTCCCCCATGACTCTCTCACTGCCATCTCTATCTGCTGAATGCAGGGAACCCAGCAGAGACTCTGATGCCCCAGGAAAAGGACAGTGGAATCACAGGTGGAAGGACACTGGGTTTCTGAATAAGGACACGAAGAATCACACACTGACCAGGAACATCCATATTATGCTTTGCATGAACTGAATATAAACTTACATTGTGATGGGTCATTTGTTACAGCAGTTGGCACGGTGACTCTGTAAACTATTTTTCCACTGAAATCTGGTTCAAAGCCTCAGCTATACAATGTTGGCCACCTCTCATTGGGTCCCCGGTGTCCTGAGACAGAAATCTTTTAGTGCAATTTTTTACACTGAATTGCAATTATCTGTTGACCTGCTTGCACATTGGATTGTGAATTAATGCAGGAGACAGCCGGGTTTGGATTCCTTTTATATCCCACCACCAAGAAAATAATAGATGTTCAAGTCTCTTCAAATGAATGCAAATTGGGATTTAAGCTACTTTATTGCCTAAATTAAAGTGCTAAGATTCTAGGCTTTAGATGTGGATTGATATTAGAACTTCAAGGGATCCACAGTATCCTCTAATCCAGTCTTCCAGTTTCATGGATAAGAAACCAAGACAGACAGGTCAACAGATACTCCAAAGGTCATCAAACCATTCAGAGGCCAAATTAGGGCCAAAATTGAAGGTCCCCCCTCCACCATTTAATACTTAACCCATGGTTTCACATATTAAATATATTCCTCCATGATATGGACCTTGTGCAGGTATGGACTGAGAGTTAATTTTTAAATCTTACAAGTCAATTCATTTGACCTATATTATTTAATTATGATATGCAACCTACACTTGGGGAGAAGCATTCAGTCCTCCAAATTCCTCAGAGTAGTTTCCGTCACAAAAGAGAAGCACTTTGAAATGCCAAAAATAAAACTGCTCTCTTGGATACTGTAGTGTAGTCCTTGAGCCACCAACCCAATTGATGTCACAGAAAAGAACTTGAGGACACACAGATTTCCAAATATCATGCCATGATTGGTCAGTTCGGCTCACAAAAGTAAAGGAGCATTGTGATTGGCCACTGATGTCTTAACAATGAAACAGTAAGGGAGAAAGATGAAGAAAAAAAGCACAATAAAATAAGAACAGTAAAAACAGTGAGGCTTGGCGGTGTCAAGCAAAAAATAGTGCTTATGATGTCAGGAGACCAAGCGGGGATATCTGAGGAACAAAACCCCAGAGCAGCCTAAGCCAGCGATGGCAAACCTTTTAGAGCTTTTGATGATGACAAATGGCCGGATGTGGCATTCATGCCATGGGCTCACCACCACTGGTTTAAGCTCTCTTCAGTGGCTTCCAAGGTCACTTCACACAATTCTGGAGCCAGAGGAGCAGAGGACAAAGCAGCACACAGTACAGATGCTTCACCTGGACATCCTCCAATCCCCTTGTAACCTCTGACCGTGACCTTGCGCTGCTGTGTCTTTGCTTCCAGTGGGCAGTGCTGTAGCCCTTTTCTGGTGGGCTTTTTCCAGGTCACTGGAGCCCACTCCCCCTAACATGAAAGGCCCAGCTCCCTCACTGCAGGCAAGAGCGATGCTCAGGGGTCTTTTATACTACAAAAGGGATCCACAGAAACGGGCTGCAACTACTCTGAGGGACCTTGCCTCAGATCACAGCCTTGACTCTGTCCTGCCCCTCTTACTTCCTTTCTCATTTTCTGGGGATCACTTCCTAAATTACTTGTCCAAATCCTCATCCAAGGCTTTGTGTTGTGGGTTAAATTTTGTTCTCCCAAAAGTTACGGTATAAGCCCAACCTCCAGCACCCGCAGGTGCAATTTCATTTGGAACTAGGGTCTTTGCAGGTGTAATTAGTTAAAAAGAGCTTTTACTGGATTGGCCTTAACTCCATTCTGACTAGCCTTCCTAGAGACACAGAAGGATGAGAGGATGTTGTTTTAAGCCACGGATGTGTGGTTCTATGCACAACTACTGAGAAACCCAACCTAAGACCCAGGAGGAATCCTTGCCCTGCCACTGCCTTCAGGTTAAAGGCAGGCCAAGAAAAGGCCTCAGACCCTGCCTCTCCAGCCTCCTCAGCCACATGCCCACTCCCTACATACTGGGATTCACTCACAGGCAGTTTCCTGTAAAGTCCCATCAGCTCACATGTTCAGCTTCCTCCGTTCCTGGCAAACTCCTTCAGAGTAAGCTCCATTTTCACCCTTGGCGTGATGTTTCTCTGACTTCCCCATCAAGACTAGGTGCTCTTTTCCTCAGATCCTACTAACATTAGGGTCACCTCCAGGCCTCCCCAGGCAGGGGCTGCAACTCAGCACGGGCTGCAGCAGCTCCTGGCAGGACCAGCACCTGGGTCTCAGCTGCTCCCCGCTGGCCCCAAGATGCCTAAGAAAGATGACGTGGCGAGCAAAGGTGCCAGCCAGAGCTAGGGACTGGAGACCACTTCCTTTCTGTCTGGAACAGCGGATTCTCAAGGTGTCACCATAGCCATCCCTGTCAAACCCTGCTCCAAACAAAACACTGCAGCAGACATGACACCTGAAGCCATAAAGGTGGGTAAGGCAGCGCCTGGGTGGGAAGTGTTGCTGGCCTCTTCCTTGGGCTTAGAACACTGGAAGAGTGGCGTGTGCAGTTCGGGGTGAGTACTAAGTATTATAAAAAGGTGGAGAAGAAGCTTTTGGTCTCTGCAACTCTAAAAGAGATCATGGAAAAATGTAAAAGTGAAGCCCCAAATAATAACAATAAAGGCAAAAAATTAAAACTACACTTCGAGGTAGTTGTTTTGCTTTTAGTTTTTGAGACAAAGTCTCTGTGTAGCCCAGGCTGGCCTCAAACTCCTAATTCTCTTGCCTCTTTGCCTCCTAAGTGTTGGGAGTACAGGTGTGCACCAACATACTTTTGGAGAATTTTTTGACTGCTAATGATGAAGAGGTTATTAAGTAGGAAAATATACTTAAATACCATACACAGAAGAACATAGGTGAATATATTAGTGGTGTGTGTCTGTGCAGAATTTTTAATATGACTTAGAAGTTAAAAAAATTGAAAGTACTACACATTGAGTGCAGGTTCTAAAATCCCTGACCCCAAACAGCCTGGAATTTGTCACTCTAGTGATTTCCTGGTTGTATAACCTAGCAGCTGGAAAGGATATTGAGGGTGACCTGATCTAACCCCTTGCATTCTGTGATAGAGCGCCTTAAATCCGGAAGTCAAGAGACTCAAGCTCACACCAAGCAAGATGACAAGTAGGACCCAGGTGCCCTGGCTTTCAGGTGAAGGCATTGTCCTGATTATAAACTAAAATAGCATCTACACAATGTTTCTGCAATTCTGGGATTGCTTCTGATCAGACAAAGCCTGTCACCCTGTTTTGCAGATTCTGGGTAAATGTGAAAATCTCTTAATGTAAATGTTGTAAATCTCTTAAGAACTATACTGAACATTTTGTGAAAAAAGTAAATAAAAACCATCGAGACTTGTAAGTTATTTTTTAGAAGTTCCTGAAGTTTTCTTCCTCCTCACCAGTAACTTGCCATCATCAAATTCAAATAGTTTTTAATGATTCTCCCAGATCCATAAAAGAATAAAGAGGACCTGAAAGCTATTTTCTACATTTATAAAAGCCTATGATACCTATGTTAAACCCCAAAAAGTTATAAATATATTTTTACATAAAGGCCTATATAATTAGCTTAACCACAGAGTATCGGCATGAAGTGTAAACAAAGTAATCCATATGAACTCCTTCAAATCATGTATTGGTATATGACACTCACTAGGATATATTAGTATTTATCACCATCAGTGACTCCATTTTGTGTTTATATGTTTGTTTACAAATTTGTAAGTCCTTCGAGATGTGGCAAGAGTCACATCTGATTAGCACACGGTTGATGTGAAATTGAACTTACTGAGTAGTGTTCGTGGATGGAAGAGTCAGTATTGTTAAAAATGTCAATGTGCCTCAATTTGATCTGTAGATTTAGTGCAATCTAAATGAAAGTCTCGGTGTGTGTGTGTGTGTGTGTGTGTGTGTGTGTGTGTGTCTGTGTGTCTGTCTGATGTTGACAAAATGACTCTAAAATTTATATGGAAATGCGAAGACTATTTTGGGAAAGATGTAGCAAATTGGAGGGCTTATTTTATTAGATATCAAGACTTTTGCATCTACCAAAATTAAGCCAGAGCACTAGAGAACAGCAAAGAAAGAAAAAGGAGACCAGTTGAAAAATGTAGTAGGATCCAGGTAAGTTCCAAAAGTATAGAGTTAGGGATAGGGTTTTAGCTCAGTGGTTCCACACCTACCTCACAAGCATAAGGTCCTAAGTTTGATCTCCAGTACCAGAAAAGAAAAGGTATATGGTGTTTTGTTGTTGTTGTTGTGCCTTGTTGTTGTTTTTGAGGCGGGATCTC